TTTTCATGGATCCTTTTGTTGGTAATTTTCCTTGTTCTTCAACAGCCACCTTATTATCATGGGGATACCACAGTGCTCTAGGCTGGTGAAAATTTGTAATATCTTTATTGCTCAACTTCAATTTCATGGTCTGCAGTTTCAGTGCAGGTTGCGAGTGAAAAATTTTGACACCGTGAGCAGAGCATTTTTTTTGTGCAGGCGATTGTTTGAAGAATGCAACAAGTCGGTTCGCTTGGGGCATGAAGATTGAAGAAAACATGAAGATGGCGAACTTTGGCATGGCATAGACTTGAAAGTTTACTCATGGAATTTTAGCACCTTTAGGACTAAAGAATTTTGTTCAAGTGTATTTTGTAACAGTTTTTTTTCTTTGTGGAATATTGGTGTAATGGGATTGTAATGATTTTATAATGAACGTTTGGTTTGGATGAACTTGAAATTTATAGTGTGAACTATAAATGACTTCGAACTTGAAATATCGGGTGATGAATTTTATGGAAGGAGTTTAAATGACAAAGTCTTGAAAAAATGCTTGAAGACATGAAAGCATCAAATTTTCTTGTGGGGTATTGTTACACTTGAATGAAATTGAATGGAATTGGATAGTATTTTCTTGAATCATGAATGAAAGGGTTTGAATAAACTTTGAACACATGTGAACTTGAATCTGGAATAACGATGAACATCTTTGTAATGAGGATGAACTCCGACTTGAGACAAGACCTCGCAATTTGTACTTTACCTTCCAAGAAACTCATATGACCAATACTTAAGGCTCTTTGCCAACTTTAATCCAATCAAACACTTTCGATCATCTTGAATTCAAATAAATTTTCAAATTCAAATCACACTTGCATTCTCAATGAACTCCTAACTTCAATCTTGAATCCAAATCAATTTGTATGATAAGTAATCTGCATAGACAATAAGATCTTGATCCTAAAAAAATTCACAACCTTGCCTTTTGTATCATGCCTCATATTCTCCACAAGTCCCTTATCTCGACAAGGTCCTTCCCTAATTGACGACCTTAAATCATCAAAGATGGACATAAATGATAATGGAAGAATATGATCAAGATTAACATGAAACCTTATTTTCCCTGATCTTCAATTACTTGAACATTTATCAACGGATAGAAACCCTGATTTTTAATGAATTTTTTTTTTCTGAACTAATGTTTCTTTTCCTTTTTCCATACCATTCTTCAAATGCAACCTGAATGCCTAACACATATTAGATGAAAGTTCAAGGGAGACCTTGGTCCCAAAGTTAATTGTTCAAAGCTTACTTTATCCGAAGTCAACAGATCTTATCCACGTATATTTGAACTTGGCCCATGATTATGCATCTCAAGGTCTCATAAGAGCTTGTAAGCCCATCAACCAGGTATGCCATGTTGAACAAAACCCTGCCTTGAATGCCTTGAACCTTGAACTACTTTGCATGAATTCTTCCACGAGAAGCCTACTTCAATCCAAATCTACTTGCATCGCAGATAACAAATGACAATGATGAGGACAATGATTGCCTTGGTTAAGGATAAGTCAATGAATTCATATCTTAGGTCATGAACCATGCTTCACAATTCAATCCCCGGCCCTTAGCGATCGGTTATTTCAATTTGAAATTAGTGTCATGAGGAACATCTACAGATGAAGGATAAAGTCTGAATCACAGAAGAATTCCCTTGACGTGAAACCCTAGTCGCATAAATGAAAACCCTAGTACTTGCCAAGACTAGATAAAAGCAATTATATCTTGAAGAGAAGGAAATCATGTTAACCACACCTCACAATCTTGATTCCCCATTTAGATGCACAGAGAAATATCCGGATAAAACATCTTTGAACCATGATTCAACAAAACCTAAATTGATTAACTGAAGAGTAGACGAATGTCATGTCACAGTCATTGATCCTAATAAAATGATAAGCATACTTATAGGAAGAGACGCCATGATTCGAAGCCCATATATGCTAGGTCACGCCCTGGAGTTCTTGACCAGAATGACCTACAACCAGTTGTTCATCAGAAGATATTAGCCCTGTAACTTGGTGGAGAAGAAGTCCAGAAATGAGCCTGAACCAAAACCTTAATTCCAAAACCTTGTACATAGAGAAGACCCTGGATAATCAAATTTATTCAACACATACACCTCAAATCAGCTGTAAGCCCTAGCTCCCTAACTGCTGATCTTTTGAACCTCAGGCGATCCATTCTATGAAAAATGCGTGCTATGCACATGACCCATTGGAATGATGCAGATGAATGCAAAAAGTCTAAGCCAGCATAAAAGTGCAATTAGGAGGGCAAATTTGGGGGTGCAACACAATACCCCATGCTGCAACTCACAAGTTGGTGGAAATCAAACTGCAGTATCCCATGTTGTAACTCAGACTGCAGTACCCCATGTTGTAACTCAAACTGCAACCAATGAACCAGTTGACTATTTTGGCGACATAACTGATGATTTCATTTCAAGCATTCCAGAAGTAAACACGACACGGTGTTTTGCTGTGGTTGGTAAACCAGACAACAGAGGCAAGAAAAAATTGAAAGTGAAAGATGTCAGGCCAGTGAGAAAGAGGTCCAGTGAAAGAATAAAACTCCAGTAATTTCAAAAACCAATCAAAGGGCCAGGTTTAAATCCCGGGCAGCCTATGTATTTGACAGAAGAAGAAGGAAGTGGTTCTAAACGTGCAATGAAGAAATTTAAGAAGAAGTAGTCTTATGTTTGTACTGTTTGTTATGCCCTTTTGATACTTTGACATTAAGTTATGGTTTGTGTCCTTATGGTTTGTTAGGCTATTATGCCCTTTTGTAATGACATTGACATTTTGTGTCCTTATGGTTTGTTAGGCTGTTATGCCTTTTTGTAATGACATTGGCATTTTGTTCTACTTATACATTCATGTAATGAATCCTTTAATATTGCTTTCAATTGATAACCTTATTTTCTGATTTCAAATGATAATGCAATACTTTAAGAAAAATAAAACACTCTTATTGTATCAACTTTGACATTAAACAACCATTATATTGCTTCTGTTTAACAACACTGCAAAGATACACTTGAAATTAACAGACAGACAGACCTAAGTTTGGGCCATTATATTACAAACAGACATAACACTTCACTTGTGCAAAAAAATTACAAATAGACAATACACTTGATATTACATATAATTGTACAACACTGCAAAGATAAACCAAGACATCATAATTATCACATTCAGTTGGGAAATTTTCCTCTTCAATGCAACTATCTTCAACTTGGATTTTTCCAGTTTCCTTTCTGTCAGTTCAAACTCCAATTTTACCATATCACAGTGTTTGCAATAACTTTGAGAATTTGAGATTTCACTAATGGAGTGAGCAATTTCATCATCCCAAATAAACAGACCACAACTATTGCCCATCTGCAACCAAAAATAACATTAAACTCATATTACGAATTTCCCTTGCATAAACAGATCACAGCTTTTGAGAATAACAAACTTACCCCAACATTCCTACATTTTCAGAATTTCCTATTGCAGTTTTTTATGGTGTTAGCAAACCACATCTTCATCGGACGACAACATCCACATCGAGAAACCTTTGAATACTCGTACGAATTACAACTTCCAACACTCTTGCTAGCATCCTCCATTTGAACATAGAGACGATTTACAGTGGAAATGGTTCAACACGGTATTGAGGGGAGAAATTAGCAAGACGGTATGGACAGACGGTAGGGACGAACACAGTATTGAAGGAAGAAATTAGTAAGACGGGGGACAGACGGTAGCTGCTGAACGTGTCTGTTGAAACATGAAGAACATGAAGACAGAAAGGTTGGGAAATATGTTTAATAGAACCCTAGATTTTACAGGGGTGAATCACAATGTTGGAAACTATGTTTAATTGACACAAATATTCCAGCATGGCTATAAATTACACAGTCAGTAAAGAATCTAATGCCACGTATGAAACTCAAAAGGAATCTTGGAGTACAAGATTTTCTGTTTGGGAATCTATATTTATTAAGGGGCAAAAAAAATAATTTAATAGAGAGGTAAATCAAAATCTGTTACTATTGCAAGGGAGTAAAATATATTTAACCCTTTTTAACAATTACATATTTGATTTTTTTTTAAAATGCATCTCCAAAATAATTTGACATGCAAAAGTAACAGATTATCAAATTTCTACATTTTCACTTCAAATATTCAGAGATACATCTCCAAATAACTCACTATAATAGAGATGTATCTCCGAAATAAAATTTTCTTTGACTACAGGGTGACAGTATCTTTGTGCATGTTGCTGAAATACAAACAGTGCATCCGAAAATATATTTCCAAAAACTGAGACTTTTTCGATTTTTCATAAGATTCTTTTCCACCTGATATGGTGGGCTAAGAAATTCTTAATTCTTTTCCACCTCATATGGTGGGCTAAGAAACTCCTAAATATAATCCTGAAACATTTTTTTATGATGTGATCATATGTATTATCTGTTTGTAATAGAGAGACTACGGTTCATGAATTAGAGAACTTAAATTATTGTGAAGAATGTTTGTAACTACTGATGTCATATTTCAGTTACTAAAGTGGTTCTTAATAATAGGCACGCAAAATTCATTCATGAATAACATAAACACATACTCTAGTTGTGGAGGTTCGTTCATATACCTAAACGAATTTAGTGAACAAAATTGGGATGTTATAAAGAAATAAAAAAGCATTACGAGAATAATCTAATTAGCAGAGCCTAATGTATAAATCCATGAAAACAACATCAAATCTTTAAGAGAGAAAGCCTACATAATACAGAAAATTAATCCACAAGCAGTCATATCGCAAATCCCAAATACGGGTCAATAGAAGTACATCGAATGGGAAGCCAAATCGCCGGTTCTAGAGCCTTTTTAGGCTGGACGGTAAAGATAGAATTGATCTGCAAAAGCTATTTCATCCCTTCCAATTGATTAAAGGATTACCACAATAGATTATTATGATGGCACTGCAAAATTTAAAAGATAACAAGGGAAAACTAGTCAAAAAATTGAAGGCAGAAAGAAGCACAGCATCACATAAATGCAGCCCCAGAGAAAGATAGTGACATTCCTAGGAAAGGATGTCCAAATCTCACATAGACATACAATATATGAAGATGATCAAAGGATAATAGAAATGGAATGATAAGGAAAAACATACTGTATGTAGATGTATCAATCTGCTCTGGAAGCTGTTTTATATCCACTTCGAACCGGGACTGAACCTGGAATACACAACAAATGAAAGATGTAAATTACAATTGAAAGCAAGCCAAATGCTCAGCAAGGAATTATGGCAGATGGTGTTGCAATAATACAAATATGGAAATGTTACAATACAAACATATATCTGCCTGCATAATACAACTACTCCCTCCATCCCTAACCTTTTTTCTAGATATATCCCTTATATTAGTATGACTTATTTCATGTTCTTGACAAAACTTGAGGTGATAGTAACATTAGATCAGGTAAAGGCGAGAAAACTGGGCACATTTTGCACAGGCTGGACATTTTGGATTTAAGTTAGTAAAGAAATTAAAAAGAATGATGATAATGGGTGATGCAATGACTCAGTGAGTAATAATGGGTAATGCTGGAGAATGGAGATGATAAACAGGTTAGCACTTGGTTCAACAATAAAACAGAGAAATTCAAATAATCTGGAATAAGGGAAGAGCGAACTGCCTCGCCACAACCTTCAATAACCCATGATGCCATATATCAACTCTGATGACAAGCTGAGCAATTTACACTGAACCATGGCACCGCCATGGCTGCTTTCTAAGGATACTGAACAAATAGTGATATAAAAGAGACTTGATTGTCTTACATTGTTGAGAACATCAACATCAGATGAACATGAAACAAATGTAATTGCAAGTCCTTTGGTGCCAAACCTTCCAGCTCGGCCAACCTGTTTACAAAATTCATCCAAAATAAAATGACAATTAACGACTCTCGACTATAGTATTGAAACATGTAAACTAAATTTAACAATTAAACTGGAAAAAGATAAGATCGTCAAAATCGTACTCTGTGCAAGTACGTGTCTGCAGAGTCAGGCATGTCATAGTTTATCACAATATTCACACGTTCAATGTCAATTCCCCTGCCAACCAAATCTGTTGCTACAAGAATCCTTGTATGCCCCTCCTTAAAACCTTTATAACGCTTCAACCTGCACAACCCATGGAGAGTTCAAGATCAGACAACTCAATTAACCAATTATTTTTTCTGCTGCAATTTTAGGATCTGAACACGAGCAAACAGAAAACCAAATCAGTTAATTGACCAACATTAATTAAACAATATGCTACTGTATAACCAGTAACATATTGCTAAAACCACACAAATTGCAGTTCAAATCAAGGAAAGCAAGTGATTTGTATCATTTCGAGGAATCATTATTGGCTTTCAATCTAATATCTATCACAAAACGATGAGATCATGCTATAACATATATCACTATTTCAACCTCATTTTCTTGTGGCTCCTTTTCCAAATTGAGAATTCAAACAACAACTTAGAGAGTTACACTATTGAATAAAAGAATTGGTTATGTTTAGCCACCTGAAGGTTGATCTTATCCAGCATGTAATCCCATATGTATGGTATAACCATTATCTGTTTGCATTGACAATTTCTTTGGAAACATTCAACGCAATCAATGTGTATGTGTGTGTGTGTGAGATTTTATTTTATTCACAAATATACACCCATAGCAAATAATGTTATTATCAATGTTTTTAAAACCGGGCAGTCAAATTGGACAAGGATCTAGTCCAGTTTGGCAAGGCAATAAGAAGAATCAATCCTAAAGTACCGTCTAAACCAGAAAGAACCAGCCATAACCGAGTATCTGGGACCGGTAACAGAAAATCAGTGACAGAAAACTATTTTTTATTTTTATGATCTCATAACCTGAAGAGCAAAAAACAAAAAAAGAGATGTTGAGTTTGTGAGGAAAAGAAGAAAACTTGATGTATGAGCAAATACCTGGTAGATCCACTCTTTCTCTCTTTTGATATTTCAATGCAGTTTGATGTTAAGAATGGTACGAATGAAAAAATTGCAGAGAGACAGAAAGATTGAGGTTGAAGAAGAAATAAAGAGATGTGGAGGTTGAAGATGAAAGGAGGTCTAGCAGCTATAACATTTCTCAACAGATGTGAATAGAAAATTAGGCTGTGTAAGTGGGCTTGGGTACATATAAATAACTAAATCAACTAAATAAAATTTAGTGCATATTAAATCAAATGATGTAAATAGCATAAAAAAGTAAAAAATGTATGTAATCAAAAAACCGGAAAAAACAATGAAGTAGAAAAATAAAGGGGCTTGCCCTTTTTTTTTAAAAAGGGAATGGGAAACGCTCATTACAACACGAATCAAAAAATACATACAAGACCATATGAACTAAACTTAAACAATAATAGCATTTTATCAAGCAATGTAATATTAAATTAATCCTTTTCAAAACAAAACCAAAAAAAAAAAGAGTAAAACACATGTCAATTATAAGTGAAGTTTATTTAACACTTCATTTCTTTTATGTATTATCCGATTCAAATGTGGTTAAACCATGAACTCTCACCGATTTGATCTCCGTACCGCTTTTCAAAACATTGGTTAACATTCATATGCTTTCTCTAATATGTGATAGAAAGCCAAATGCTCATCAATTAAATGCTAATGAAGAAAAGATGTCACATAATACAAACCTTTCTTCCTGGGACATTCCAGAATGAATGCATATAGATGGAAAGTTGCATTCCACAAGCAGTTTGTCCAACTCAGCTGCTCTACTAACACTTTTCACAAAGATCACAACTTGATTGAAGTCCAGTGCATCAAGAAGATCATTCAACTTCCGGTTTTTCTCCTCCTCCTTCAATTTGATGTAGTGCTGACATTTCAATAGCCAAAGTAAGCCACGCAGCTCATACCAAGTTATTTCAGAAAATGTGATGAATAAAACATGTGAACAGCAAAAGACCCACCTGAACAAGACCATGAAGGGTCAATTTTGCTTCGTCGTCAACATATATTTCCATGGGCTGAAAGGAACAATGTCACAGTAAATCATATTAGGAGCCTTCCTCAAGATAATGGAATCCAGAACGAAATCAATGACGGATGCAGAACCCTGAATCACAGTTCTGATCCCCACTTATTGTCTCCTTGCCGATGCTTTTTTCTAATCAGCCCTTGCAAGAAACACCAACACTTAACACTAACAATACCGCAACCAACATATCCACTACCCAGAATACACTAACTCGATTTCCCTCAACACTGAAAACTAGACAGTATCCTAAGCTGTAAAAACCCTTATCAAACAAAAGGACAATTGAGAGTTGAGACAACTAACTTCCAACACCAAATAAAAGAAAAGATGTGGCAGGAGAAGAACCACAATCACAATCAGGCGCATATATAAAACATGTCCATCTAGAACTTTCATCCCCAACCAACATACAACCACACTCCTTCCCACAAGCTGTTCCCGTAAAAACTGTTGGATTTAAAAAGGCACTACCCAAACAGATCCCTATTATCAAAAGTAAATGTTGTTGAAACCATGGCCCTCTAAATATCTAAAATGCTCTCGGTAAATGTGGGCATCATAAAAAAGAGACTTCTATTAAGTAAAACTGGCCACAGGACATTACATCTTGCATAAACTTTTTGCAGACTGGGCGGATTTCCTTGCTGAGCGTTGCAGAAAACATCATAACTTGCTTATCGTGGGGAGTCAACTTGAAAATATCTTGCACATCTTTCCTCATGTCTGGAGATATTACAATGAAGACAATGAAATCCAATCAATCATGGGAAGTTAAAAACAATGATTCTAGTCAGAAGAACAACTGTTCATCAATTAAACATACCAAGTGATTCCAGCATCTTATCACATTCATCCAAAATGAAATGCCTGACGTTCTTCAAAGAAAGGTCCTTATCCCTAGACAATGCTAGTATTCTTCCAGGTGTACCAACAACAATTTGAGGGCATTCATTTTTCAACAGATCCTTGTGAACTTTAACGTTGACACCACCATAGAAGACAGCAACTTTGAGATCAGACAAGTAGGTGCTGAACCTTTCAAACTCATGGCATATCTATGAGAAAGAGATTGCACATATATCTTAAGTTAGAAGCTACAATAATACAAAGATCCATTGCTTACATTTATAGAACCTGGGATACATACCTGGTATGCTAATTCCCTTGTATGACACAGAATAAGAGCAGAAACTTGGCCTGGAACAGGATCAATCTGCTGCAAAGTTGATAAAACAAAAACAGCAGTTTTTCCCATTCCAGATTTTGCTTGGCATAAAACATCCATTCCCAGGATTGCTTGAGGTATGCATTCATGTTGTACTGGTGATGAACCAAAGAAAATGGCGGTTGAAGAAACCAGTGATCAGTAAAAAAAAATCTTTCTGACCCTTTTAAGTTGATTTGATAGAGTTACCAAAGCACAATAGTTCTCCAAAACAAGATTATTATAGACGTATTATTACCTGCAAAAAAAAAAAAAATTAACAAAATACACAAGTTTAGTAAAATTGGGATTATAATAACTAACATCAGCAAACACATATATCACTGGATGAATGATAGCTTGACAGATGTTTTAAGTTGAGAAATCTTGCAACAAGGATGGATCGAAAAACTTATTTTCTTAATATCCGATCCCAATTTTTTCCCGCCCTAGATCCAGATAGAGCCAAGGGGAGGTACAGTGCTACATGAGGAGAAGAGAAATGTAAAGGGGGTATTCTTTTGATTAATGTTAATAGCCAAGAGCAACTTTAAAAATTTTAAAAAGATTCAATAAAACAAAGACAGAAATTCCTACTCTAGACCAATAAAACAAATATTCAAAACACAATTAGATTTCAAATTCCTAAATCATTACAGTAACTAGGAGAAACTTCAAAAACTTCAAAAAATACACTACAGAAGAAATTAAGAAAATACACACGATTGAAGTGGAGAAAAACACAAGTATCAACCACTCTACTCTAGACCTCAAATTCCCAAATCATCACAATAACTCAAACAACAAAACAACAATAACTAAACATAAAATTTACCTTCAGAAGGATGCTCAAATCCTGAATCCACAATAGCCCGAAGCAGCTCCGGCTTCAGAAGAAAGTCTCTGAATCCTGAACTGTGTATCCCAACATAGCCCCTGAAAAAAAAAATCAAACCAACCATAAAAAATCAGAAGAATACAAAAATACGCAGCATCAAATTCAATTCAACCAAAACGAAAACGTAAACCCATTCCACAAACAATAAATAAATAAAACAACTTTACACATCTTAATCCATCAATAGTCAATAAAAATATGCTCAATCGGTGTTAACTTACTTCTTTCCAGATTCACCGTTAACTTTAGCTCCAGCGGAATCAGGAACTTTTTCATCTTCCTCTTCGTAGTCAAGAAGCTCATCCTCGTAAACATCGTCCTTGGTTTCTCCCATTTCTGCAAATCAAAAAGTGTTAATTGGACGTAATTTTCAAAATCAAATTAGGGTTTAAACATAGACAGGTAAAGAGAGTGGAGTAGGTGAATACCTGCAAGAAGAAGGATTTGGAGAAAGGTTTGTTAGGGTTAGGGTTCGAGAGAGTCTGCAAAGGAAATTGTTAGCTGAAAAATCAAATTTTGGGGGAGAATGAAAGAGATGATGAAATGAATGTGAGGAACTTTTATAGGCACACGTGTGGGTATGTGTGTGTGAGTTGAGTTATCTTTTTGAATTTTATTTGATTAAATATACAACATTCCTAAATTACTCCCTCCGGTCTCATATATATAAACAATTTTTAAAAAAAATCCATCTTTTAAGAAAGATATTCAAATACATTTAAATCTTATACTTTTTCTAATTTTATTTCTATTTTTGTCTTGGAAATAGTTAAAAACATAGATATATAAAAAAGAATAGAGTTATATTTGGAATAATGATTTTTTGCTTATATTTGAGACCATAAAAAAAAAATTTGTTGCTTACATTCAAGACGGTGGGAGTATTAAAGAGATTTGTTTTTAAGTTTATGGTAAAGTTTTATTTGTAACTATAGTTTATTATATATTGTGTATATTGTTTGTTTTATTAACTTTTAATAAAAATACAACCATTTAAATTGACATAGAAACTATAATCTGAATATTAAGATGTATTTGAAAACTAACTTATATCAATTATTGTATTCCGAATTGCATGTGTCTCTATCAGTATATTTTATGTTTCTTTAACACATAATATATGATTCAATGGTCTGATTCCTATAATACATCGATATCTATTATTCTACTTTACCTCGTCGTTGTCACTTATCATCGTGATTGTTAAGATCATGATTGTTATGATGATAAATCATCATAACAATCACGATTATAAGCGACGATGATGAGATAAACAATAATAAAAGATATTGATGTACTGAATGAATTCGACCATTGAACCATATATGTGTCAAAGAGCATAAAATATGCTGAATGAAACGCATGCAATTTTGATTACAATGGTGTGTAGGGGTATCAAAGTGGATAGCCCGTCTCATTTAGGCTCGCCCCGTTTAAGCATGTTCAAAAGTGGGGCGGGGCGGACGGAGCAGGCCAACTTAGAGTTTGAGCTCAGAAGTCAAGTCTCTCTCGTTTACTAACGAGTTGTCAAGTTGGCGGACCGACTCTCTAATTTTTAATTTTTTTTATTTTACAATTTGATTTACTACATAATTTAGAACATTTTTTATTATTATCAAAGAGGTCGACAAAATAAATTCTTTAACAACGCATAATAGAACTTCAACATGTCTTAAGTCCAAACAATTTAAAAAATAAAATAAATAAAGATCAATTACAACAATATAAAATTAACCCAAGCACAATAAAAAAAGTCTCATAATAAATAAATAAATAATACATGTCATCCTAATCCTATTTAAAAACTAACTTCTAAAAGAATCCAATTTAAAATTTATACAAAATCAACAATGATAACAATTACACTGCATAAAACATCACAGTGCACAAAAAAACAGCATTCCCCACAACTGTGATCGGGAGGAGGCTATACCCATTAGATGCCAGAGTTATCCCCCGAACCGGGCTATACTGATGGTGATAAGTAAAAAAAAACATCACAGTGCATAAAATATCAACATTGGACTTTCTCACTGTTTATATGATATAGACTCTTATATTGATTAGTTCCTTAATAGTTGAATCATAAATTTGTCACACCTATATACTAATCAAACCCTTTCTTTTCTTAAAATCAACATCTATTTCTAAAGAAAACATCTGAGTTAATGTATTGACAACTTGATAATTATGCATGTCATACAATTGTTCTTTTATTTCAAAAAATTTCAATCAACGCATGTATTAAAAAGTTATAGAAAGAACGTTACAATTATAATTCAATTTGTCTGTATAATAATTTATAATACAATTCAATTAATATAATCCTAAGAGAAAAAGGGTGTTTTATAGTTAAAGTTATTTTAATTCTAAGTAAAAAAAATAAAAAAGTTTTAACAAAAAGCACGCGGGCAAAACCTGCCCCATCTCGGCCCGTCTTTTTAAGCGGGTTAGGCGGGGCGGGCCAACTTAAGGTGTAACACCTCAACTTTTAGAAGTTATTTATTTAATAAATTATTAGGAGTATTTACAAATAATTGATGTTTTATATGATTATATGTGTGATGTGTTGGCATATGATTGCTTATGATGTGGAACATGTGATATGAATGAAGGGATTAGATGCATTGGAATAATTAGATGGTTATTTAGTAACTATTTGGGTTATTATCTATAATAGAATAATAGGAATAATTATTTAAATAGAGTTATTTTAGTTAGAGTGGTATGTTGGTAATTAGTAGGAAGAGTGAGGACGTGATGGTAAATAGAGGGTGACTAAGTGAGGGCAATTGAGGAAGAAGTTAGGGGTCCTTGTGATAACAGAGAAATATAGAGTTATACGGTTCTTTTTGTGCGATTGAAATATTAGGAGAAGAGCAAGAGAAGAGGTTAGGGCATAGAGGCTTGGAGAATCACTGTAAGAGGCACGAAGACCATAATCAATCACTCGAAACAATAAGGTAAGGGATTTTTATCTGATTATTATGTTTGATCTAAGTGATAGATGGTTGTAGGATTTTGCCCTTAGTATTGACAATGGTGATTTGATGTTGTTGGGTTAAGGTTTGATGGAATTGTGATGATGGATGACCCGTAATGGTTGTAGAATTGAGGTATTTTATCAAATTGTTGTTAGATGATGATTCCCCATGATTAGATAGTGTTTTGGGGCCTATAGCATACTGAAATCGCAGGAAAAGTGGTCTGAAATAGTGCAGAATCGCAAACAGGAAAACAATGTTCGCAGAGGATCGTCGGGCGACGTGTTTCGTATCGCCGGGCAACGGTGTTTCTCCAGATGAAGGTGGGGCGAGCCAAGGAAGGAAAATGGGGTGTTGGTCTCTGTGATGTGTTGTTGGGCGATGGGAGGCAGATCTAGAATGTTGGATTGAAATGTATAAACGAGCATAACTTTAGTTCTAGAGCTCCAAATAAAGTGACGTTCGAAGTTGTGTGTAGCTAACGTGGTATACTATAATCAGGTGAAATAAAAAGAAGACTTAGGAGTATTTTTATAAGAACTAAGTTAGATTAATAATAGGCTCCCCATGTTGAATCGCAATGACGATTTGTTTAACTATGGTAATATGTTGTTATTATGATTATGTGATCATGTTCTAACGATGTCTTGATTTCATGAGTATGCATGAAGATTATATGAGTATACATGATCATGTTTATGTATGATGTTGATTAATATATGAATGATGATGTGTATGACTGATTGTGGTCGTTTATATTTGTTATTATGCATCATGCATTTATGGGACAACTTTGGTTCGTTTGATGATTTAGGATGTTGGTTCAGTGATTTGGTCTCAATCCTATTGTGTGGATTTGGGATATCTATGATTTTCTCTAATTCCAAGTGGGTATCGATCCTATGATTGGGGTCTTTGGAGGGTGATGTCCCAGTGTTCATCAAGAAGAATTGGTACCACGTGCATGAGTTTATGTCCTTGCACTACATCTTATGTGGCATTGCATGGTTTTTGAATTGATGATATTGTATTGTGTTGTTGAATCTTTATGATTGTTGATGTATTGGGAATATAATAATGTTGAGTTTATGTTGTGATACTTTAGGCTTGTTCTGTTATGTCTATTACTTACATCTTATAGAATGATTATGATAAACTCACCCTTTCTGCTTGAATGTTACCTCTACGTGGGTAACGTGTAGGTAATCCATAGTAGTCCCTAAAGGCTTGGAAGAATAGCTTTGGAGTGTGATTTATTTTCGTTGAGTCTAGAAGGTATTGCCCTGATATGTAACATCGGGGATGGGAACGCTTTGTTTTGAAAACTATTTCGTTCTTGTTTTGTTATGACATTTAAATTGTTTTCGTGGAGTTTAAACTGTGTGGAATTGTGAACCATGAATCATGGGACACCATGAAGTGTTTTTAATGAAACTTGTCTGAACTATGATTCCGCTACAATTATGTGAAACATTGATAATGCATATGTCATGAATAATTTTGAAAACCCGTGTTACGGAGTAATACTAGCACGTATGATTATTTCACGAATAAAATGTGACACCCTTTTGTTGTATTACTCTGATATTATTTTAAATAATTATGAATATTTCGTTGGGTTTAGAAGGATGTTACATTAGTGGTATCAGAGCAGGTCGGTTCATCCGGCCTGGATTTATATGATGTTTATTCCTTGTTAATCAATTAGTATCTGAGTATTATCGATGTGTTGATGTTTCTAGTGTTGGTTGTCTATGCACAAGAGTTATGGCTGGAGGAAGAAGCTGAAGACTAGTGGAATAATGCGTGCCAGAGGATGGAGATTTTGGGCACAAATATTACTTAGGTTGTGTTCAGAGCTACTTTACTGGATAAGTACTTTCTAGAAGATGTGCGTGGTAAGAAGGAAATCGAATTCCTTGAGCTGAGTCAAGGAAATTCGACAGTTGCTGAATATGCGGCTAGATTTGAGGAGCTAGTGAAATTTTGTCCGCACTATAACATTCCAACAACTGAGGTGTTGAAGTGCATTAAGTTTGAGAATGGACTGCAAACAAACAAACTCAGGAGTCGAGTCTCAATGAGTGTAGCATCGAGTATCAACCAACTTCAAACTGCACTAAAGTCGGTCATCTCACTACGTCCTAATGGCCAAGTTAGTCAATTAAAGATTCTAAAAGTTCATTAGTGCTTCATGACATCACTCAGCGGCCTCGTATTCTCCTTGATTAACTCAAGGACTGCCGGTACCCACAAATATGTTGCACTAACGTAGCTATTGCTTAGACCATGTCGGTATACCCCACATAGTTTCCACAACGTATTGCTACTTACCTATAAGGTATCCCAA